ATCTCACCTTGTATATACAAGATCTCATTAAAAATCGGGGCAGAATTTTGTATAGAAAAATAAATTATTTAGAAGAAAGATAAAGGGTAATTGAATCTTATTGGTATCAAGAATCTTGGTTGACATCTGAATTGAGCTCAAATTAAAGTGTTTCTAATTACATATGTAAGGATTGAGCAGGGGAGGACGACGTTCGAAGTAACTTTTTAAAAAACTATAATAACTATAATGTTGTTTTTTGAAAAAGCGTATGTGAAAATTAAATACTATACAATATATAAACAATATATAAAAAAAAAATACAATCAAGGTTTTCGTTGTAGTAGTTAGCTGTTGTCGATGTTATCACTATCGTCTTTCCTATTCATGGTTTTGTCATGAATAGAATCGTTTTTCAGTATACTAAAAACAGACATAGACACGTTTTTTAGTACATTAAAAAAACATAGACAGAACTATGAATGGTGACAATGCCAGCAACAGTTAGTTACCTGCTATTACTACAATCTTTTTGTATTTTTTATTGTATATTGTTTATATATTATATAGTATTTAATTTATTATTTATTATATAAAACTGAATATGTAAACAAATTACAAAACGATTTATTATTTGGTGCCCATATAGTCATGTGGAAAAAAAACAAAATATGTAGTTGCAACCTTGAAATTGGCTTTTGCTTATAAGTCAATTTTAATAAAAATAAATTAAAGTATATGTTTTATTTATTAAGAGAATTTGTTAACTATTATCCACTGTGGTATGATCCAAAATTTTATTTGTTGAATCCACCAGAACAGATTAACTTGGTGTGATGCCGATTGTAGGATATTCGTTGCAAGCCATACTTGTCTTCTCTGGAAACATATATGAGCGTACATTTGCTTCTAAATAAATGAAATATCATTAATGCCACCCATACAAATGGTTTTGCTTGTGTCTCTAAAGAAATCTAGGCTTTGTGGTATAGACTCGATGCTTTCCGGTAGTATGAATAGATCACCTTATATTATTTGTTTGCTTGACTGGATTTTGGTCAAGATTCTCTTGATATTTTTAGCACTTCCATCTGCCATACGTATTCGTTGCAGTAAAATCTTTCTGCATTTATGCGTCAAAAGAATTGGCTAGAGTTTCACTGATAAAATTTCTTGATGCTCCTGTATAACTTCTAGTATTTGTCCATTGAGTCGAATCTCTGTCACGAATATCCTCTATGGTTGTAAACTTTTTTGTATATGTTTCCTGAATTATATTGTCAACAGTCCACAATACGAATATTGACACATTTCTAACAAACAATAAAAAATTTAGCAGTTTGTGGAGGCTCTTGCCAGGTGCCGTTGTTAACTATGTCTATGACATGTTTTACTAGCATCATGAATTCTTGTTTCATTTAGTTATAACTTGTGGTTCCTCTCTTCCGTTTAACGTTTCTTGGTTGTCTTATATTAATCAAAACAGTTTAAAATCTTCAATCACTGTTAAAAGTTTTTCTAGACTATAAAGATCTCTTCTTTTGATGTGTTCGATATGCGAAATATTCATACTAGATGTTGTGTAGCTAAAATCAATGTACCCTATTAAAATCTGCATAGCGTTGACGAAATTCTTGAACCACAGCCATGCGCTTCCGCTAACGTGATCGTATTTCGTTACCTAATTTGTCAACAATTTTGGTATGGTGAGGGGAATCTGGTTAATATGGATGCCACAGACTACCCAGTTCCTAATGCTGGATAATATCGTTTTTTTTTTGAAGATTGTTTAGCCCTGATTGATTTAGCGTGTTTGATTGCTCTTGATCTTGATTGTTGGTACTAGGCTTTTATTTTCGATTTTAAGAATGTTTGTAAATTATACAGGGTTAGGCGATTGAAGTTCAAGATGTGATCTTCCGGTATTTTGGTTTATTCCTGAACAATGCCTTCCTTTAGCATATTCATACTGGCATATTTTTTAATCCTCATCTTGTTTTCCAAAATGGCTCAGATGGAATGGTCCATCGGATTTGGATCTGGCAAGTTTGAAAGCAATTGTGTGGCGAATATGTGTGGAACATGATTTTTTAACCATTCTTGGTTCACATGAAGTTTCTGAGACTAAGTTTTTTTGGAACATACATGGTCTACGATCGAAATGTTTATGTGTTCATGGCTCCAAAGCAACTTCCAAAACATTTTCCCGATTATAAGTCGCATTGACTTTGACAACAGATTCGACGAAAACGATTGGAGAGCGTTCATCGGCGGTTACAGCTGCCCATACGATTACTTGAGATGGAAAATTACTTTAGGTAGACATTCGTAATCTCAAATTTTCGGCAGCGCGTTTAGTTTAGTATGCGTTTATATTAAACAGTCCTAAGTTTGTTTAATGGCGCGCATACACGTTCTTGCTCAGCTGTTATGTTTCGATTTGCGTTGCCGTTTTTCATCTATTTGGGTTTGAATACCATTATTTATTTATTTTCGAGAGTCTGACTTATTTTGATTTTGAGTATGTTCTCTTATTTTCTTTTTGTAGCGAAGATCATCAACGGACTGTCAGAACCTGGTTTGATTTTTGCATTTCTTCTTGTGTTTTGTTATGAAAAATAAGTGATATGCGTGTGGAAATTTTAGTTGAAGTTCAATTTAATTTAATGGTTCAATAGTTTTTAAATTTAATTGTTTTTTAATTCAAATGTTATTTTATGAACATCATACTTTAACTCAATATTTATTAATATTTATTTATTTTATTATTGTTTTATTCCAAGTAATTAAAGTACATAAACAATTATGAAACGTGTTTTGTGTAATTTATTTGTGTCACAGCATCAGTGTTTCTGTATGTGTGCTTAAAATTTTAGAGTGCAAAAATTCACCCTTTCAATTAACTGAATGCATTACTTCAATAAAAAATATATATGACCATACAATAATCTATAATAGTATTTTTGTTTAAATATAGAAACAAAATGCTAGCGAAACAACGTACACTAAAAGGGTAATACCAAAATACAATGAGAATAAAAAACAGCAATCAACAACAGGGCTTACGGAAAATTGGTACAAAACTTGGTTGAAAATGTTAAAACTGACCACTGATTCATTCTGTACTTCTGTACTCTGCACTCAAATAATCATTTGCACCGGTACACAATAATGCAAATATTTAAAAACAACTGCGTGGTGAAAGCGTAAAAAGTACTTATAAGCACTTATACTTTCTTTTTATGAATGCAGTTTAAGAATAGAATTTATGACTCTTGGCAGTTCTCGATTACAATTAGTAACATATTTAATACCTTCGATTGGTTTATATTACAAAGATATTGATTTATTTAAGTAACCATTTCTAGTGGTTATACCTTAATCCGTATACTTTATAATCAAAAAAGAACGAGAATTTAAAAAAAATAAAAAATTTTAATTTTTAATCATTTTCTTTAATATCGCCTTCAAAGTACTCTCATCCTGCGGCAATAAATGCATGCCAACGCTTGATCCAATTTTCCATACAAGTTTTAAAGGCCGCCGAAGGTATGGCCTTTAGTTCACGCAACGAATTCTCTTTTATGGCCTCTATAGTCTCAAAACGCGTCTATGGTCCTCGCAATGGCAATTTGAGTCGGGAGAAGAGGAAAAAGTCACACGGGGTCATATCTGGAGAGAACGGTGCTTGGTTGATGATATTGGTGTATTGGTGGAGTTTTTGGCGGGGTCATTATCTGCGTTGGAAATCATCTCTTTGACCACATCACAACGACGCTTGTTTTGAATGAAATTCAGCTAAAAATCGCCACATGAAAATTTTTTGACTTCTTTGTATAGACGACAAACAAAAACTAATCGTACGATATGCGTTAAACTTTGACAGAATGTGTATAATAGTGTTGCCAGCGTGAAAACAAAAAAATTTACCGATTGGATAAGCGCAGGAATTCAGAAATTAAAATTCTCGATCTTTTTTGATCACAAGGTATTTAAAATAATATGCAGTACTTCAAAAGTGCAATACTACGCATTGAAAACAATTCAGTAACTATCGACTTCAAACTGATCATTTTTAAGATAGTGGCAACAATAAGTCAGCTAGTGTTATTGTTTACAAGCGAGCGCTTTGTTTTTAAGTCAATAAGAATAAATCTTTCTTGCCTCAAACCATAGTGTATTATAATAAAATCTTCAGTTTGCAAAACGTTATCGGAGTTATTATCTGCAGAAATATCCGGTACTGAACATGCAACGAATTTTCAAAAACAAATAAGATGCTTTCAATTTTCAGAAAACAACATTGCGCCAATGTTTAAAATTTATTAAGTTCAATAAACTTATTGACAAATCTTTACGTATTAGGATCGAAGGGAAGCCGCCTATAGTGCAGCCATTATATATTACGAGGTCATGCAAGCTGAAACTTTTTGGAAAGCCATGGAAAAAATTATTATTTAAAATTCCAAATACAGCAAATATATTTTTGCCACAAATAAAAATATTCCTAAATAATACGTCACTTCATTATCAAATTTTGTTCAAATTGGTAAAAAACTATTACTGTACTAAACTTGTCCGAATACTGTTAATCAAATATTGTATAAAGCTATGGTATACTATGGCTATGGCTATTTCTGACTTTGAAGTTTTGTTAGTTTTTTACAATAAAAAATTTAAAAATAAGCTACTCTAATTATAAACCAAACAAACGAATCTACAGCTGTACAAAAAATTAAAAATATATTATGTCGCAGAAAAACCACTGTAAGAATTTTAACGCTATAACCATGCATCCGACGACAATCAGTAAACCAAAAAAGATTTACTCTGACAATCACCCACTATTTGAATAATAAATTCTTGTGCAACTTAAACTCTACAACATTAGGATATATTAGTTAAGTTTAACATAATGTTAAATGTTCAGACTAAATTAATAACATAAATCTAACACATTTTTATTTTTGTGTTGAGTAAGAATTAATTTTAATAAACTTACCGTTGTTATTATTGCTGTTTTTAATAGAGGGATGGTGGTTTGGTGGTATATTATTAATTCTTATACCTGTCTGTCCGATTTGTCCTTGATATGGAATCACTCCATTTCCACTTGAAGGTATCATATTTATTGTTCCATGATTTGGAGACAGCAAAATACCGCTGTTGCCCAAACTTCCTACACCATTATTATTACTAATAACATTAACACCGTTGGGTTGCATAGGTATACGATTAAAATGATCTATATTTGTATTTATGGCAGTAGCAGTCGGACCACTTATAGTCTTAAATGGTATATTCCCAATATTTCCAACACCTGCGTGCACATTATTTATATTATTTACGTTAGGTTGATTAATATGCGTTGGACTATTTAAATCAACATCAATTTTTCCAGCAAGAGTATTACCATGATCACTGTGATTAAATCCACCTAAGCCGGGATTATGATTAAAGGAAGTGCTTGTTTTATTGTTTTCTTCTGATGCACAGCAAACTTTAAAAACGACTTTCATGTTGTTTGTAGAGCATCTCCCACCTATTCTTCGATAAAGATCGTCTTTTGATGAAGTTGCTAAAAATAAATCATTTAGTAAAAATCAGACTACACACAGATTTAACTTACAAATAAAATAGTAATCATTTCCAGGAAGGAACTCCAAACCTCCAGGTTGTGGAGTAAATGGGCGAAACGTTATAGTAAAAAACATTAATTTTTGTGGCTTATCACATATTGCTATAACCCTTGGATCAGCATTTGTTATTCGACATGTTTCATATTCAACTTTTGAAACATTATATATAATGTACTTTTCTGTTTCATTCTCATATGTGCCGGGTTCATATACTGGACAAATTATGTGTACTTGGTCGAATTCAAAAGCTAAATTTCCTTTATTAACGTCTATAATATGATCCGTATTATCAATACGAAAACTAAAATAAAAAAATGGTAAAATTAATATATCTTATAGTATAAAATAAAATATATGAAACTTGGCTAGAAAGGATAAAAAATATACTACATATACAATATATAATAAAATATATTGTATATATAAAATATATACAATAGTTTTTGATAAATAACATCTGTTATCGCTAATTAAGCTCAATCGTCCGAGAATGGACGGCAAATAACTCGTTAGTTCTGAGAAA